CCTCCCTCCCTCCCTCCCTCCCTCTCTTTCTTTCCCGCCTTTCTCATAGGAAAATTCCCATGGGTTATTTCCAGTTTAGGCTGCTGCTGTTGTCCACAGCATTTCGGCCACCTCCCCTGCCTCCGTCCACCCCTAGAGGCAAAAGATTAAATAAGCCAAAAGCTTATTACTAAGAGCCTCGGTGGCGCAGTGGTCAGAGTGCAGTACTGCAGGCTACTTCTGTTGGCTGCCCGCTGCCTGTAATTTGGCAGTTCGAATCTCATCAGGTTAAAGGTTGACTCGGCCTCCCATCCTCCCAAGGCGGGTAAAAGGAAGACCCAGATTGTTGGGGGCAAGAGGCTGGCTCTGTAAACCACTTAGAGAGGGCTGGAAAGCACTATATAGCGATGTATAAGTCTAAACGCTTTTGCTGTTGCTAGTGATATGGCTATTTTTTTTTTTTAAAAAAAGGATTTTCCAAGTATTTGCAGCTCCATAAGAAAAAGGCAGAATTTTACAGACCCCATTTGGAAATTATTTGCGGGTTATTAGCAATAGACAATCCCGAAATAAGCGGCCTTCTGTTTAACCCTTTCTGGTGCACAGCGATAGAACAATAAATGTGGAAAGGACGTCACCAGGTGATGACCATTTGGTGAATAGAGACCATATAGCCAAACATTCTTCTGGAAGACTAGATAGCAAAACATTTAATTTGCTATCCTGTTCTCTGGCTGGATTTAATCCAGTTTAAGAAGCCAAATCTTCTTTTTCTCACATTTTTTCCAGCCTGTTCTACCTTCTGATTTGGCTGTCGAAGCTAGACAATACGGCACCTATCTCTGGGATAAACCTTTATCTGCACGGACAGAGGGATTTTTTTAGCCCCTGTGAGCCAACTTCCCAAGCCTTTGGCAGAGAGAAATAAATAAAATAAAAACCTCCACAGCCTCATTTATTTTATGATCACATAAAGTAATGTAATTTACAGCCTGTGTCCACTTTTTGAAAGTCATGTTGCAAGCTGGACTGTAACAAGCAGCAGCTTATGAGATAATAAAAGAAAATTGGTTAATTTTTTGAGGGAGAGAATGTTTTTTTCCCTTTTTCTTTATGGTAGATGAGTCTGTTAACGCAGATCAGAACCTTCCAGGTCCAGAGCCAACGTTTCAAGGAATATTTTCCCGCTTCCAAAGTAAAAAAACCCTGCTTTTTCTTCGCAAAAAGTTTCTCTTTTTGTTGCATTTTTTAAAAAAAGAACTCCTTTCGCAAGCGGTGGCATAATCTGAATTTTGGTTTTATGATCCCATGGGATGGATGAGGGGAGGGAGACATCGATGTGGGGGAACATGGTGAGGGCTAAGGGTGCCCGTTTTCAATTTTTGGAGGAACAACAAGCCGTCAATCAAAGAAAATGACAGAAAGATGACACCCGACAGGCTGTGATGTGGGCAGGATTGTTGCATTGCATGAAATTTCTGAACTTCAATGCTGGAATCGTTGCAGGTGTTTCTTAAACCTGTTGGATTCATCTTGCAACCTGCCTGCGACTCTAAAAACCAAAATGCCACAAGCGACAACTGCAACAACGCCGCACAACCTCGAATTATTGCCCGGAAATTAACAGCTTTGATTTACGGGCAGTCCTCAACTTACGACCGCAATCGAGGTATTTGGGGTTTCCTTTGTAAATTATTTTGGTTGTTGAGTTGAGTCAAAGACCAGAACTGGGATTCTCAGAATGACGAGGATCAACACTCAACCGATAAAGACTGAGATATTATTCATTCGGGGGCAATAACAATACAGATAGTCCTCGACTTACAACGGTTCATTTAGTGACCAAAGTTACAGCGGCACTGAAAAAAGGGACCCAGGACCGCTTTTCACACTTAACGACCGTTCCATCATCCCCGTGTTCATGTGATCAAAATTCAGATGCTTGGCAATTGACTCGTATTTATGACGGTTGCCGTGTCCCGGGGGTCACATGTGATCCCCTTTTGCGAACAAAGCCAATGGGGGAAGCAGGGTTTGCTTAATGACCGGGTTACTTACTTAACGACTGCAGGGGTTCACTTAACAATGATGGCAAGAAAGGTTGTTCATTGGAGATGGGGGAATTCACTTAACAACTGTTCTCACTTGGCAAAGGAAATTTTGGGTCAAATATGGTCATAAGTTGAGGACTGCCTGCAATGGTGATTATTTCCTGCGATGATATTTTTTTAAAAAATCTTGGTGGTAGACACGACAGTACAGGTAGTCCTTGACTTACAGCTGTTCATTTAGTGACCGTTCAAAGTTATAACGGCCCTGAAAAAGGGGACTTAGGACTACTTTTTGCGCTGATGAGTGGTGCAATATCTCCATGATCACATGACCAAATTCAGGCAATTGGCAACTGACTCATATTTATGACGGGTGCAGCTTCCCAGAGTTACATGATCCCCTTTTGCGACCGTCTGATCAGCAAAGCCATCGTGGAAGCCAGATTCACTTAACAACCGTGTGAGTAACTGCAGTGATTCTCTTAACAATTGTGGCAAGAAAAGTCATAAAAAGGGGCTAAACTCACTTAACAAAGGTCTCACTTAACAACGGAAATGTTGGCTCAGTTGGAGTCATAAGTTGAAGTCTACCTGTATCTACAGACAGCAGAAGAGAAGAGAAAGAACTGGACAAAGTCACAAAAGGAAGCAAAGGTAGGATCAATGGTGATAGCGCCTTGGATGCCGTCCCAAAATATTGGGAGCATCCCTTGAACACTGTCTGCATTGACAAATTTCCTGTCGGTCAATTGCAAAAGGCAACTTGACTCGGAACAGCTGACACTCTGTGACAATCCATCAAACAGTCATATCTGCTTATCTCAGGTCCTTGGCCAGGGCTCGAGAGGTAGACCAAAGGGTCAAATCCAGTCTGAACACCTGGCTACCTGTGCAACCAGCCTTAATAACAACATCTGGATGGGTGGAACACTGCTGGCATTGACCATTTCATCACCCGTCAATTGCAGAAGGCAGCTTGACTAGGAACAGCTTAAATCCTGCGGCGAGACCTTTAACCCCATCACACAACCCCATCTGGATCTCCCAGGTCCATTGGAAGGACTCCAGAGGTAGACCTAAAGGCCAAATCCAGTCTCAACATCTGGCTGGTCCTGTGACCAACCCTATAATAATATTACGTACTAAGATGTTTCTAAGAGAATGGTGGAGGATCAGCCTGAACTTGTGGTCTCCTGGAATTGCAAGGTCAACCTGGTGGCCCACTCAGGAAGGCCCTAATTCCAAAGGCTCAGCCAATGAGAATGGCCCTCGTGGATTAGGTCAGGGGTCTCCAACCTTGGCTACTTTAAGACTTGTGGTTAGCAGGTTTGATGGGTCTGGAACTCTGGGAGTTGAAGTCCACAAGTCTTAAAGTGGCCAAGGTTGGAGACCCCTGGATTAGGAAGCTCCATGGTTCTCTTGCGAAACTTTTCATGGATTTGAGAGTGACGGTATCACAAACTCTCTAAAATGTCCCCCTCTCACACACCCCTCCATGCTTCTACAAAATGTCCACCTTCCCCTTGGTCAGCCCAAGCTATTTTGGAGATCTTAAATGTTTCTTTCCTTGACGCCTGCAAGCAGAAAACAGACCTTGGTTAATGATCTGCCCACCACTGCATCCCACATCCTGTTTTCAGCTAAAATTGCAGCTTTCCGTTCTCGTGTCCAGACAAATGTGCTCAGGGTAAACTCGAAGACCTGACCTTGATGGCAGGGAAGAAGAAGAAGAAGGAGGAGGAGGAGGAGGAGGAGGAGGAGGAGGAGGAGGAGGAGGAG